TTTACTACAGACAGTAAATTATCAGACATCCACCCTTGTAGGTGACTCTTTCAGAAGGAACAGAGGAAAACCTCAGTTATCAAAATGACCCAGTATCTAGAATTTTGAAGACTTTAAGAAACTTCCTGAAATTTCTGGCTATGTGGTCAAGCCTTAGACAATATGTGGGTTCACTTACTATATGGATACTTTTTATTTTCCTGGAAACTGTTAAAATGGAGACCATGAGCCACTCTCACTGATACAAGCCTAAAGTCCTAACTCTGATGTCTCCTGCTGGAATTCACCCTGGGATTGAGATGGTCTCTTACAAACCTGTCTTCTCACAAACTTGATCAATATTGGCCAATGACCGAAAGGCTTATATCACTGCACTTTTTCTTTCGTGATTTCCTGTTATCGCTGAAATCCCCATTTCTTGATTTTATTAAGTATACCCTAATGAGATATGCTTCATAGGCATCAAATGTTTAGTGAATGCAATCAGTATATAAAGGCATTCATGAATACCTGGGCTGTTAAGGAGAGGACCTGGACGCCTCTGTCTTAGATGCTAAGGGGAAAGAAGACTGAAGCTGGAGCTGGAAAAAGAGAAGTCGTGCCGGCCAGGGAGAATTATGCACCGCAGACCTGCTCACAGCACGAAGCACTGAGTCCTTCTTGTGCATCCAAGTAGAAGTGGAAAAAAGAACTTAGAGAATTAAAATGAACAAAATGACTGGATAGATTTCTTTTCCAGGGAGAACGGGCAAGGAGTGTGTTGGGCCATTTTTTATCCTTCCAGATTTTCCTTACCAGCCTTGGGGACGTCAGTCACGGCCTTGTCCTAGTTGCATTCAGCAGTTAAAAACCTAGAAAAGTTTGTTCCTTCCCAGAACCCACGAGAGGCCAGAAAAGAGTAGTACCTTTATCCTTGATGAGCTGTGACCTGACCCCACAGCTGCCCACCACCATTTCCCCTGGATTCCGAGGGTCTCTGCTCCAAGCACTTTGCAGCCACCGTGCCTGCTGCCCATTTCCTTCCTTTCAGCCTGTTTCCAGGGCGGGAACCTGTCCCTTCTCTTGCCCTTCCTCTGGGACAGATGGTCTCAAATGACCTTGCTCCTGTCTGACCTCTCTTCAGCGTCTTCCCCCACCCACTCACTCAGCCTTCTTTGCTGTAGGCAATATCGCAGCTATTGGCCATCAGAGGCCTGGCCTGCCCACTTCCCATCCTGCGTGGGCCGCTCTCATCATCCTCACCTCTCTGGCTCCTGTCCGCCCCCTCCCGTCCTCCCAGGGCCCCGTCAACACACAGCACATTCCAACCCTACCAAGGGAGGCACATACTGGCAGAAGAAGCAATTAACATTTCTGCAAGCTGGAAATTCTCATAATTAAAACTTCTTTTGCAAGATCTCAGGAGTCGAAATAACCAAAGGGAAGAGGAGCGCTAGCATCTTATCAGGAAGTGTGATCAGTACAAATAGATAAACCCAGTAATAGAGGCCTAAAATTGTACCCCCGGGCCCAATTATTGGACACGAATATTTCTGTTGATTAAAATAACATGATAAGCTTGCTATATTCATAAAGAGTTCTTTGCACATTCAGAAAGTCTCTAAAAGAAGCAATAGTTATAATCACTCGTGTAGTCAGGTATTAGTTCTAACGTGAAATCACTTTCCTAAGTTTAGCAAAGTCAGGTCTTAACACAGAGTGGCCACCTACTGAAAGATAAAGAAACAATCACTTTGATAATACAAAGCTCAGCACAAGCGCAAAACACTAAATTAAAGGCAACTGAAACACATTCATTGAGGGACAGTGTTCACCACGGTGGTATTTAGGAATAGTAAGTCTTAGAAGACCAAGCAACTTTGTGATGTGTTATCAGACCAGCAAGTTGAGAGATGACACCCTTCTAAGCCCAGACAATGAGCCCACTGCCAAATCCAACACTATCCAGAACTCTGTCTGAAAAGCCAAAAACACTGACATTAGAGAGCATTTAGACTTGACATAACAATATGTTGAACTTCACTCACCCAGAAAAAGGACTAACATGGCTTATAAATGTGACAGACCTGTTCATTTTGATAAATGCAAGCTGACAAAGTAGCCACGGGACAGAAAAGGTATTAACCTATTTCACAAAAGATGGCTCAAATATGGAGCTTTTGGCAGTTTCTGAAGGAGCCATACCACCACAAAAAAAAAGGTTATTTAAAAAAAAAGTGGGCTTTCCTTGAAGTCATAAAAAAGGGTCTAAATTATAAGTTGTAACCAACATCAATGAATAACTCATGTATTGAGACTAAAAAATTACAGCTCCTCTGTAGCTGTGCCTTCTCTCTAGAAAACACACACACGCGCACACAAACACGTACACACCTCATTGCCCTTAAGGGCACTAACAACAGACATGTCCTGACATTTAAATCCAGGCAGAGTTGTCAAATGACCTCTCAAAGGCAGTCAGCTTGTCCAAACTAAACATATTCCTTGCAGTTTCTCTAATTCCTCAAGTAAACTTCTCCATGAAATCTAAACCGGTGCTTTCCCTGTTTTAAAAACTGCTGACGAGTGAATCCATAACACAAGTAAGAGCTGCTATTGCCCAAGAGATAAGCTGGCTCGACACACTGGCTCAAGGACCCGGTTAAGAAAATGCAAGCTGAGATGACTGTCCCCAAAAGAAAACAATCCTAGAGAATACATTATCTCATTCCACATACTCAAGAACTTGTATAACCGTTATAATGCTTGGTTAGGCCCATGCCCAAAATGGTCAGCTCAGGGGGACCCACCCAGGCCTCTAATCAGAACCTCTTCTGCTGAGACAATTCAGTGAAACTATCAGAGGCTCATTCAAATGTCTCCATAATAAACAGTGAACAGTGCACCGCACATGGAGAACGCACAGGCTCGGACCCAAAAGACAGAAATAATCAAAAAGCAGCTGAAGAAAAGATGAGAACGCTCAGCTAAGGAAGAAATGAATTTTTTTCAGAGGGAGACATGTGATGGTATTTCAGACCTCTCAAGAAACCAGTCAAACTGCTTCTTCAATTCTATAAATTTGGGCCAAAACAAGGTTGCTCGACTTTGTGGTCAACATTGACTTCATTTTACCAGATACCTTGTTTGATTTACTCGGTATTTCTGTTTGCTCATGGAAGCAGTTTACAGATAGATGAAGGTACCATGGAATGATGTTCCCAGGCTGGGTCTACAGGCATGAAATTTAAGAAAACAGGGTAAAAAAAAAAAAAAAAAGAAAAAAAGAAAAGAAAACAGGGTAAAGCCCTGCCAAAAAGGAAAACAAAAAAAAAACGTGGCTCATGGAGATCATTTTCCCCATTCGCTGGTGCTCTATCTGCAGCAATCTGGCTCTGGATACCTGCTCGTGATATCCACCTTAACATCAGAGTCATTTCTAAAGGAATAATAATGATGGTAGCCACCACTGACGGAATGCTTGCTGTTTGGCAGGCAACACGCTCTGGTCTGAATTCCTTCCTTCATCTAACTACTATTTAAAGATGGTTCACCATGTGACAGAATTGTTCAAGGTTTGGGGGTAAAGTCTGAATAAAACAAAGCACCTGCTATCATGGGACTGTCTTTCCTGTAAGAGGACAAAGAAAAAGGAAGAATAAATAGGGAACGTATCAGGTGGCGATCAGGGCTAAGAAGAAAGTAGGATAGGGCCTCTGGGTGGCTCAGTTGGTTAAGCATCTGCCTTCAGCTCAGGTCATGATCCCAGGGTCCTGGGATCAAGCCCCTCATCAGGTTGCCTGCTCAGCAGGGAGTCTGCTTCTCCCTCTGCCTGCTATCTCCTCTACTCGTGCTCTTCCTCTTTCTCTCTCTGTCTCTCTCGCTCTCAAATAAATAAATAAATAAATAAGATCTTAAAAGAAAAAAAAAGTAGGATAAAGGTGTCAGAGGGTGACCGTGTGAAGCATGCTGTCCTCACAGAGACCACCAGGAACACACTTGCAGTTCAGGAACACTGGGTTTATGGACTCATTGCAACAAGGGAGAATGCACACCACTGGGATCCAGTAAGCCAAATAAGAGGGTGTTCGAAGGACTTTAAGACTGGGGTTGTTAGGTGATTTGGGGGAGGGCTCAAGAAAGCAGGATTTTGCTCCAAATTGGACACTGTCAGGAAGTGAGGGTAATTCTACGATTGGGTGTCTCAGTAATTCCTACCAAGAAGGTAGGAGGAAGTCACCCCTAGTAGCCAAAAGTGAATGTGTGGCCATCTTTGTGGTTTGGACAATCTTGGTTTTATCTGCATTTGGACATGATTGTAAAGGAGTCTTGCTTTTGTCTGGATCCATCATGGTAGTGGAATGTCCTTATCCGATGCTGGTGTTCTGTGAGGCTGTCTATGGTCAACAGGAAAACACCACAGCTGAGCAGTGAATGCCAGGCCAGCTCCCAGACATCCTCCTTCAGCCATGCCAGACAAGTACTATTGCTATTTCTCTTTTATAAATGAGTAAACAAAGGCCCAGCGAGGTGAAAGACTTATCCTACAGCAAGTAACTAAGAAAGCCAGGTTATCGGACTCCTGAGACAGCCTCTCACCCACCTCACACAAGGGCCCCCGCAGCGCTGAGCCTTTTGAATACCCCTGACAAGAGGTTCTCTTCAAAAGGCCAGAGGGAGTTTCCGTGCGAGGGTGATACAAAGCCCACAGGGGAATCTGCTACGGGCACCAAGGCCAGAGGCTGTGCAAATACACCCGAAATTAAGTCCACCCGATCACTGTCAAGGCGGAAGCATTTTTCTCCCAGGAATGAGGAAGCACTTCCCATTTTATTTAAATTGGAAGGTTGCTTTTTCAATAATGTCATCAACACCAACCCATCTCAGCAACTTAGGACCTATAACCAGAGTTTTAACTACTGGCACAAGAATGTTAAAATAACACGAAGGCCGTGTTCCCAGAACGGGGGGATAACAGCGCAGGAGACATGCTTCCCGACCATCAGGAGGTCAGGGCTTACCAGCAGGTTTTCCGGCTTCAGGTCCCGGTGGACGATGCTCTTGTCGTGCAGGTGCACCAGCGCCCTGCACAAGTCCATGAGCATGAGCGCGGCGTCGCGCTCGGCGAACTTCACGCTCTCCATGATGGCGTCGAAGAGGTCCCCGCCCTGCACGTACTCCATGATCAGGTAGATTTCCGCCTCCGTCTCGTACACCTCGTGCAGCTTCACGATGTTGGGGTGGGAGAGGCTCTGGATGATCAGGATCTCGCTGTCCACCATGTCCTCCTTGCCCTTGAGCTTGGACTTGTCGATGATCTTCATGGCGTAGGCCTGCCGGGTCTCGCGGTGCCGGCACTCCTTGACCACCGCGAAGTTGCCGTCCCCGAGCACACGGCCCGCCTCGTAATGCTTGTGCACGTCGGTCGCCAGGAGGCCCGCGGGCCGCCGCTTCCGACCGCCCCTGGGCTCCCTCTCCCCGCGAGCGGCCGGTTTTCTGGCCCCTGACGCCGGCGTACAGGGCGGCTTCTCCCGGTCCGCGTCCGGCTCGCCCCCGCGCGGCTCCGGAAGTGCCTCGGGCTCCGCCTGCTGCTCCCTGGGCTGCCGGCTGCCTGGCCTGTTCCTGCAGGCGCTCCTGGCCTCCCTCCTCACGTCCCGCAGCCCCTCCTCTCTGACAGGCTGGGCTTCGCTGAGCTCCCTCTTGGCCTTGGCGGCTGCCTGAGCTTGACCTTCCTGACCTTCGGGGTCTCTGTCCTCCTTCTTGTCCAGGTTTTTCCCGGGCCTCCTCAGCTCCTGAGGGGGGTTCCTGGGGCTGCTCCTGTGGCTCTCGCCCTTCCACCCTTCCTCCCCGGCTGCACGGTGGGCCTCGGGGGACCGCCTGCAGCTCCTGGTCCTCACCAGCTTCTCCGCTGCGTCATACCTGTGGCATTTCCCCAAGTCCAGCTCGCTGGTCCCTAGGGACAGCCGCTCCCTCTGCAGGCCCTGCTGGAGCTCCCTCTCTCTCTTGCACTTCTCACATCGGATGGGCTCACCCGAGGTCCTTTCGATCTCCACGCCCGGGTGTTTCTCTCCACTCGCAGGTCTCTCCAGAGTGCCTTCCCTGGGCGGCCTGCCGCCCGACTCAGGCTCCCACTTCCCCCCGGCCCACTTCTTCTGGGGCCTGGCCCTGTCTCCCAGCGCTGGCTCCACGGGGGCCTTTCCCTGATGTCTGATGGCCGCCTTGGACCGGGCAGCCTCACCGCAGCTCTTGGCAGCCTCGGTCTCCCCACAGTGGTGTCCCCCTCTCAGGGCCCTGCTGTGAAGCCTGCTTCTCAGCCTCGGAGAAGGGGCTCGGCTGTGCTGGGTCAGTGTCAGGGCCCGGGCTTTGCTGGGGTACAGTTCTTCTATAGCTACCTGAATGTTCTTCAGCGTCAACGGTTCTTTGCCCATGGCTATGAAAGCATCCCCTTCCCGGAGGAAATCAGAGACACTCCTGATCTCCCTGCCCTTGAGGTTGAAGAGTTTTCTCACGCGATCGTTCTTCCATCTGGGAAAGCCCAGGGCCTCAGAGATGTCCGCCAAGAGCTGCTCAAAGCTCTGCACGGACCGTCTGTTGAGGAGCAGAGTGATCTTCCGGAGGGGGTGACCACCCAGCTTCACCACGGTCACCACCCTGGGCTTTAGGGTACTACTGTCAGCATGGACGGAGTGAAGACCATTCTGAGGGCTGAACATGGGCACCACGGAGCCATGTGGCCCCAGGAGTGGTTTCTCCACATTGCCTCGGCCAGCAGGCAGCCATGTGCCCTGCAGCTTCCGCTCGGTGATTCTGGAGCTTAAAGATTTTAGAGAGTGGTCACAGAGGCCTCGATGTTCTGCAAGAGGAAAATGACAACACAGTGTCAGTCATGATGGGTTCAAAGAGCCCTTTGGCCTTCACCAAAGCTTTACTGAAGGTCACTGATTCTATTACGGTTTTATAGAAGTGTGATCTTTGAGGATCTGCTTAAAATCTTGGAGCCTGTGCACTTTCGGTCTAATCCCCAGTCTCCGCTATAAGAGATCAGGAAAGTAGAACGAGTCTTCATTGGGCCTGAGTGGCTCCTCCAAGCCTCCCAGGAGCCCCCATTATGTGCCACACCTTGAGAGGCCTCACTAGGCGTGGCCTGACCCTGGAAACACAACTTCTGCTACCCTAAAGTGAGCTGTCTTTCAGGGATAAACAGCTGAGATAAAAGGTCCAAGCTTCGCTGCCCAGGAAATACCAAGAAGAGGTCAGAACATTCTGGAACCTTAACCAAAATCTCACCCACCTCTTTGCCAAGAAGAGTTTTTTCAGCTTGACTTTCAACTCACTCGAGGTGAGGTGAAAATGTGAAGAGGTGATGACCACAGACTCTGAAGACAGATCTGGATTTGAATCCTGGCATGGCCACTGGGTACTTGCGTGAATGTGGGGAAATTACTCAGGTTTCTGTTTTTTCATCTAGGAAGTAGGAATGAGAACACCTTCCTTCCAGGGTTTTTGTGAAGAGCAAATGGGAAAATAATTAAAGTTCACTTAAAGGGGTGTTTGGCACACAGTAAGGGCACAGTAATGGCCAGTTATTAATACTGTCCTTACAGTCTCAATATTTCTTTTGTATGATAATTATCATTTTGGTAGTAATATATTATATTGATAAGGCAGAATTCACTTGGCATCACAAGAATTCATGGACCAGCGTGACATGGTGGCTATTTCTTAAGGTTGCAAAAAAGAAAAGGAAGGAAGGAAGGGAGGGAGGGAGGGAGGAAAGAAAGAAAGAAAGAAAGAAAGAAAGAAAGAAAGAAGAAAGAGAGAAAGAGGAAAGAAAGAAAGAAAGAAAGAAAGAAAGAAAGAAAAAGAAAGAAAAAGAAAAGAAAAAAGAAAGAAAGAAAGAAAGAGAAAAAGAAAGAAAAAGAAAAAAGAAGGAAGGAAGGAAAGTAAGGAAAGAAAGAAAAGAAAGAAAAAGAAAAGAAAGAGAAAAAGAAAGAAAGAAAGAAAAAGAAAGAAAAGAAAAAAGAAAGAGAAAAAGAGAGAGAGAGGGAAAGGGAAAGAAAAAAGGGAAAGAGAAAGAGAAAGGAAGTTGAAACAAGTTTCAGTGTAGGTATAGAAACTTTCTTCTCTAAATGATTTTTCTTCCTGATATTAAAAAAAAAAAAAAGGAAAGAAAGAAACCAAGGTCATATTAATGTTCAGAGCTTTGTGCTCATTCTCAATGTATTTCCTGATAAACTGCATAATTGAATAAAACAGGACGTATTTCCTGACCAACTATGCCCAGCCAGAATAAAGCAGCTGAGGCAAAATTGGTTCAATTTCCATTTCGGTCCAGGTCAGGAAACAGGAAAATGACAGAATGTGTCACTGAGTTACACCATGAGGGTGGGCTGCGGATTACTTACATTACCCCACAGGTCCATCTGTCCTACCCTACATGTAGGAATCTGACGTTTATGCTTCCTTTAAAAAGAGATTAAAGATAATTATTTTTATGTGCATTTGAATTGTAGCAAGAACCCCAGTTGTGCCAGGATGCGCAATTTGGCCCAGCATATTTACACAGAATGTTTTTTGTTTTTTAATTATAATGCACAATCTGTCCTGAGATGATTTCCATCTAGACACAGGTGTCAGATTGGATGACAAGTAGTGGCTGGTACTGATCCCATATGCCATAAATTTATGAGCTTAACACTTACATTTACAGTTCAACTATTTATGGACATCTGTTATTCCTTTTCTTCTCATAATCTCTGTAATCTGCCTCCATTTTTGTCAGAGAGTTGAGAGGAAGAAAGATCTACAGCAGTAATACTAGTCTCTGTTTCCTCACAGGGAAAATTAAGGAAGGATACCAAGGAAGAAGACCTTCAAATGTGTGTGCACAAGGGGACTAGTGTTGTCATTTGTTTTCCTTGTGGTGCTTCTCACAGAGTAGGACCTGCCATACATATTTATCAGGCTAAGTCAATGGAAAAGACTTCTCTGTTCCAGGGAAGGGAAAGGAGAGGGATTTTTAGGGGAGAACCAGAAGGACAAAGGAGCATTTGATGAATACATTAGGGATGCAGGAAGAGTTCAGCATGGAAGGGGGCTCAGGGGGGACCCAGAGAAGGATCCAGCATGGGATGTCAGGGAACCATATAAGAGTCCTCATGAAACAGGACAAACACTGGTAGTGCTCACACATTGAATAGTGACCAAGGATGACAGTGAGGTGAGTCATGATGGGACCTGTGGCCTCAAGGTGCAGTGAAACTAGGGAGTTTAGGTATGGTGATCGATGACTTGGCCCTGTGGTACCCAGAGTCAGGGTGGGGGAGGGGCATGTTCTCAGCCAGATCCAGCCCTGATTCCTGGTGATGAGGGGAGTAAACTGGGAACACCTCATCCCTGAACCCAGGAGAGGCTCCATAAGAGTGGTCCCCATCTCAGGGCACAGAGACAAAGGATGTGAAGACAGAGCAGCTCTGCTTCACCCCCATCAGGCATGTGCAGTCCACTGCCCAGGCAATCACAAACTCATTCAAAACCTCTGGTGTCTGGGGGCAAGCGTGAGAACTCAATCCCTCACCTCCCCAACATAACTGGGTTCTGGCTGCATCAAGCTACTAGGCAGTGCTAGGAAAACACAACATCAAGGTACAAGCCCTCCTCCCCCCTTAAAAATCCTTAGTCCAGAGCAAAGTTTTCTTCTTTAAAGGTGAGAGAATCAAATCAGGAGACCCTGAATGCCTGGTCTGTAAGCAGGGAGAGGAAGAATATAGCACAACCTTTGGGTCTGTCTCCAGCAACAGCCTCACCTCCCAAGGACAACAGTGGTACATTTAGGCTAAATAGAAGCAGCAGTATCCTGGTACCTACCCCCATCAAGCCAACCAGAAAGCTAAAGACCAGCTTGTGTCTACTTATCACCAACAATTTACAAAATTGATTAAATGGAACCATGTGAATTTGCCAGTACTTCCATTTTGACCTGCAAAAGAATGGAAATTTCATGTGGCTCAACCTAAAATGATCTAGGATAATAACCCCTACATCAACCACAAATAGTTAAAGAAGGTACCTAATTCCCAGTCCTCGGTCACCAAGCCTGTAGCTTCCCACAAAGTGACACAGAAAAAGATGCTGTTGTAGCACTCTGTTTTTCTAAGTTTCTACAGCAACATAAATTGGCCTTGACTTGACAATACTGCTGCTTTTGCCTCATACACCCTAAATACAAATGTTTATAGGGTTTCTCCCCAGAGTCAATCTAACCGCCCCCCCACACACACACACAGCAGAATAAACACTGCCTACTCTGAGCCACTCCTCTGCTCAAGAACCTACAATGGCTCCTTATTACCTTCTTGGGGGGCCAAACTGAAACTCCTCAGCTTGATATGTAAGGCCCTCCATAATCCAGTGCCCTCTACCCATCCCAACCCCACACCCACCCCCCACTCCTTACATCCACCCAAGCCTCAACATCTTGTAAGACCTGGGACCCATATCCACTGCCAAACCTTCCCTGACCTCACTATCACAGTCAGCTCCCTCCTCTGAAGCTCTGTTTGTTCCTTCACGTGAATGCTTGAGACTGGATACAGGTACTTGGCTGCTGGACATCTGGTCTACCCTTCAGCACATCTCACTATTAATGATACTAGGCACTGCAGATTTGGGGAACCCATTCCCAGCACTAACATCCAACATGAGTACCACGTCTCAGTCTGCCAGCTCTCCTTGTAGACAACTGAATGTTTCTCCTTTCAGCTCTGGTAGACGTCACACCCCAGACCTCCTAAAGAGATTAAATGAGAGAGGTGGAAGAAAGTGCAATCACAGACATCCATTTAATACAAGGAAATCTGCCAAAGCAGCATTTATAAAGAGGGACTGATACAGGCAAGGGAGAGCATTTCTTCAGAGTTTGCAATGGCTTCATTTTAGAGGCATGCAAAGAACACCAAACACAGGGTCAGAGACCTCACTTAAACCCGGTTCTACCAGGCTCTTCCTAGTCATGTGACCTTGGGAGAGTTACAGAATCTCTCTGCGCCTCAGTCTCCACATCTGCCAACCATGATACCTCACTCATGCTGAAAGTGCTCAGCGTACGCTTGTTTTTCTTCCCTCTCCAAAAGAAAACAGGTCTTGTAACCTTGGATATCCCCCAAATCCATTGTACATCTAGAGAGCAAAGAGAAAAAGATGCTAAATGTGACTCAGCAGGTGAATTTGTCATCCATGTAGTGTTTGAAATAGGAAACCAGTAAGGACAGGATAATAAGAGGAATAGTCCAGCAAACTGAAGCATACAGCAATTCTGGGAGGCTAAATGAACTTCCTGCTCACTGATCCTAGGATTCTCTGACTGGTGTGAGCCAATAACTGCACGGGCATTTTGCTCTTATTGCTTCTAACAGCTTTGGCCCCTGGCAATCCTGTCTCCTATCTGCTGCCACGATTCAGATGAGGTAGCATAACCTGATTCTACAAGGGTCAGGTCTACACCTTATCATGCTGACCAGGCTAGCACAATGATGGGAAGTCACATTAATCCCGTTTCCTGTGTGATCATTTAATAACACTTTGTTTAGGCTGCTAATCATGGAGTTTAGGATCAAGATTTTAAAAAACACAAACTATCCTGCTAAAATTAATCTTTTACTTGTCTTTTTTAATCAGAACAAAAAGAATGTACCTCTTCCTAGTCATTTTCAAATCCTAACCCATATGTCTAACAAAGAAAAACAATGTCTGAGGTCAGCACTAACTTCGGAATTCTCACCTTGGTTTCTAGAGAGCTATAATGACACATGAGAAAAAGAAATGGGAGAATCACACCAAATTGCTA